AAGAAAACAATTTGATTGGTGAAGAAAACTAAAATCTGATTGGTGAACAGATTTAGACAGATTAATGAAGAAGGGAGCATCTGTTTGGACAAGACAAGATCTGATTGGTGAAGAAAAGGTAAGTCTTTTCCGCTTCTATGTTAAACTAACCAGAGAATTGTACCTGTATCCATAAAGGTATCTGTAACTGTACCTGGAGTTAACTGTACCTGGAGTTAACTGTACCTGGAGATGCATCTACCTGTACTAGAACTTGTGCTCATAGCTGTAATTTTCATGTACCAATACCTGAGTTTATTCTGTACCTACCTGTAACTATATATCTACCTGTCCCACTCATCCTCGGTAGGGGTGTGAAAATCCTTCGTCCCAGAGCTGAATTTGAATTGAACGTGGCAATACACAGAAGCTAGTTTCTTGTGCACCCCATACTTATCCCATGAGCTGTTGCGCCAAAGCATTACGTATTAGAGGTCACAAAGGGTGTGCATAACAGTCCCCAGTGGTCAGGATATTGTGGCATTGAATGTTACAGAGTATTTTAAATGAATTCTTTGTATAGTTCTGTACATAGAAGGTGACTTATTCACAACTGCGTGAGAACAGGAGTGTAAGGCAATATATCTAGCCAGCCAATTTGTTATTCACCTCTGCGTGAGAGGTATTCGAGCACATTGTGTGTTTGGTTCGATACATGGGAATTGACTTGGCTACTATGTGCAAAAAAAGTGGATACAATTTTGTGTCCCAGAGCAGGTGGTGGGAGAGATATGGCCACCATCCTTAGCCTTCACTACTGTACTTGCATTGCTTTAACATTAATGTACCTAAACATTTCATCTCTTCAGTGTATTTATGTATCCTATTAGTGTTGATGTCTTGAAAAATGTATTAATTTGTATTAGTTAAAAGAAAGTTTGGTCTTGTTGATGTATAAGTTGAGGCAGCTAGATACATTCTCACATCACCAGTTAGGAGGAAAAATTTAACTTAGGAACCTTTGAGAAACCATCTTTGTATCGTAAATTAAGTGATAGCCTATAATCTCGTGTTTCTCTACCTTTAACTGTAACCTCTGTATCTTTCTGGCCACATAACTGTATCATCTACAGTACTGTATATCATTTACTGGTAATTATGTGATGTGTGTGGGGGAGAGAGAGAGAGAGAGGGGGGGATAGAGAAACAGAGAGAAAGGGGGGTAGAAAGGAAAAGACAGGGGTAGATAGAGAGAGGAATAGAGAAACAAAGAGAGAGAAGGGGGGTAGAAAGGAAAAGAGAGAGAGAGACTTACAGGATGTGGATGCTGGTGGATGCTGGGGGGGCTGGGGTGGGGCTGGGGTGGGAGGAGATGGGTGAGGTGATAGCACTTATAACTTCCTGTTGAGGGAGAGGGGGTCATACCTTCTCCTTCTCCTCCCCTTACTCCTCCTCCTGTTTCCCCTACCCCCTTTCTTCCCTTCCCTCCCCTCCTACCCCCCTTGACCAGGTCAATGCCCCCTTTCCCTTACTATCTGTCTTCCCTCCTCCCCCCATACACACAGGTACAAGTAGAGGTAGAGTCCAGGGTGCAGTTACAGGTCTAGGTTAAGGTACAATTACAGGATGAAGTACAGCAACAGGTAGAAATTGACTTACAGGAGTTAAAGGTAAGCCAAACAGGGTGAGGTTACAGCTCCTCGAAAAGTAAGTTCTGTATTTTGCCGAATACAGAATACGAATGGATGAAAAGGTAATGTATTTTAGTATATTCTGTTACCATATTGAACGGGTACAGAGCAGTGTATGTGAATGAGTTGTGTATTTTATGTAATTTCTCCCATTTTGTAGCCAAATAAGAATACAGAACATAGTACAGGAAAACGAATATTTTTTTCTGTATTTTTCATAATTTTTTTTAATCGTAGTAACCGTAACGAATTCAGAAGACGAAATAATATTAATAATTGTATCAGTATTATTTCGGGTTTTGTCTGTTAAAACTGGGGTCTGTTAACACACACACACCCACATACAAAACGGCCACCTGCATGTTTGTGATGTCATCTACCTACACCTGCTCCGCCCACACCACCACACCACACCTGCTCCGCCCACACCACCCCTGCTCCGCCCACACCACCCTTGCTCCGCCCACACCACCCCTGCTCCGCCCACACCAACCCCTGCTCTGCTTATCCACCACACCACGCTACACCATTACACCAAACCGCTAGACTAATGTTAGGATATACGTATTTTATCTCTGGTGGCGAGATACTTGATATACTGTATACCTTATATACTAAAGCTGTATCCACATTTTGCATCTACTGTAGTAGCTAAGTCAACTCCTATGTACCGATTTAAACAAACTATGTACTGAAAATACTCTTAACAGTGAACACCATAATATCCTGCCCACTGGGGTCTGATACACGCCCTGTATGACCTTTGCTCTGTCATTCTTTTTGCGATACCGCTCACAGGATGAGTATGGGGTGCACAATAAACTAGGTGCTGTTCGCTGCAGAATTAAAGAAAAGTTCATCACATTACACTACACTTGTTGACACTGCCACTGACAGTCTCATCAACACTGACACCTTATCCTCACTACTGGCTCTTGATATCCTCAACTCAGATTGACACCCGCTTGTCTCTGTAGCCAGACACAATCATGTGTCTTGTTGACGGGGTTGTCAGATCCCCTCTCACATAGGCATCAGTCAACATGATAACAGTTGATGTCTTAGCTAAACTCGCGTCCAACAAAGACACTGTTGAATATACTCTGGAACTGTCAAACAGAACCTTAAAAACTGTAATCACGTAAGAACGTGTTGATTATTTGAAACCAGTAGACAAGTGCCAACAGGCACTAGTCAATCCATCGTTTACCATGATGAGATGTATCAAGTGAAACATGTATACGGAGCAAGTAATAAGATCACTAGATGTTGTAACCGCTAGACTAAGGTTAGGATATAAGTACCTCTGGCAGCATGTCCCTCAACCAGATGTGAAGAAGACTAAATGTTAAGTGTGCGGCCAGACTTATGGCCACACTCACGTCTTATACCGTGAAAAATTAGAACCATATATAGGGATAGATCCAAGCACACACTGTATATAATGTCACAGCAAAATATATCAGATGGCAAGTCAGCTGACATACAACAATATATTAAACTATGTCCACATTTTGCACCTAGTAGTTAAGTAAACTTTGTTCTGTGATGCTTTTTACTTTACCGCTCGCAGTTTGAGTATAGGATGCACAATAAACTAGCTGCAATCCGAGGCTAAATTAAAAAACAAAAAAATTTAGAACACCTGCACTCACCCACACCACCTCATGACACCACACCATCCCACCTCACACCACACCACACCATCCCACCTGCACTCACCCACACCATCTCACGACACCACACCACACCATCCCACCTCACGACACCACACCTTCCCACATCACGACACCACACCATCCCACCTCACACCACACCATCACCACCCACGACCTTACGACACCACATCATCCCACCCTCGACACCACACCATCCCACCACGACACCATCCATCCCACCTTACGACACCACACCATCCCACCTTACGACACCACACCATCCCACCTCACGACACCATTCCGTCTACACCCACCCACACCCATCCCGCCGTAGAAGTTTTAGTTTCGTTCATCCGGGAATCTTAGCAATTTGAATCAGTAGTTTAGACAATTTTAAGACACTTTTCTTCGATGACGTTTCCCTCGCAAATGGCCTGACCTAACCACCAAACTACCTACCCCACCCTCTCCGCACATGTAACTAAAATAATACCCACACCTACACTACGCCATCTGCACTACATCACACCTACACTACACCACACCTACACTACACCACACCTACACTACACCACACCTGCTCCACATCCCCAACACCTACACCACACCCCCAGCACCTACACCACACCCCCAACACCTACACCACACCTGCTCCACCTAAACCCACCCTACTTACACCACCATACATCAAATTACAATTTGTACGTATACACACGGTACATAATAGACATAGGTTACAAAATTATACCCCCCAAAAAGTTCACTTACCTGTAGCTCCATCCCTGTAGAATGGTGACGCAGGTGAAAACACAAAGACGATGCAGTGACGATACAGGTATTATATAGATTGATGGAGTGACGAACGACTCCACACACACCTCCCAAGACGAGACTAATGTTTACACTGTGGTCGACCTCTCTGATCGGTGCTCGAGCATCAACTGCCCAGTCCCTCTTACATGCGTGAATGAATTGGATTCGGATGCGCAAAAGGTTCGTAACACTAACGTGTCTGAATCATCTAAGGATTTGCCCTCCCCTTTCACAGCTTATTGAACCTGAAGCACCCTGGGGGTTTGGTTATGTTCAGTTTTTTTTTTTTGTTGGGGGGGGACAAGAATTTTTTTTTATTTATAGAGGGGAGGGGGTCCCCCCCCCCTCCAAGACTTTGGTGGCGGGGGTCACGGCCTCCCCCTCCCCCCCCAAGACCATTTTTTATGGGGGAGGGGTGAAGGAAGATTAGAGGTGGGGGTTAGGAAATTGTAGTTTTCTGTTATCTAACTGTTCTTTCTGTTATCTAACTGTTCCTGTTATCTGGATGCTCTTTCTGTTATTTGTTTTTCCTTACTGTTTTTATTTCATTGTTTTCCTCGTTATTTGACTGGTCACTTATTTAATTGTTCTTCCTTTTTAAACTAAATTTTCGTCTTTTTCAAACAATCTTTGTTATATATGTTCTTATATATTGTTCTTGTTGTGTTCATTGTCTTTGTTTTCCAACTGTTCTTCCTGTTATCTTATTATTCATTGTTATTTGTATCTCTTTGTTCTTATCTTATTGTTCATTGTTATCTTACAGCTCTACCTTTTATGGTTCATTGTGATCTTATTTTTTTTATCATCACATTGACATACAGTACAGTATAGGATGGGATAATTAAAGAAGTAAGGCTTCATATACAACATATAATTACACAACTAGATGAATGACTCGTGGCATCGACTGGCCTCTGTGCCGACACCCTGACCACCGTCCCTCTCTGACGGTCGCCCTTTTGAAATGATGTAAGTTTGGGGAGAAAAATAATACAGTAATAATAATGTTACACTTGAACAATGCTGTTACTTACTCATAAATTCCTGAGGTGGACATGTCTATAAAAAATGGAGAAGAGAAATCAATGGTCCCGGAAAAAAATATACATAAACTATATACTGTATAATAAAGGGTTGTGTGGACTTTGGTAGTGGAATATATCTGTACTGAAATATATTGAGAACAAAGGCCTAGACTGTTACATAGATATTCAGCCAATGCTTTGTTTATCTCAGGACTGACTGACTAACTGGAGGTCACAAGTCTCCTTGGCAAACTGATCCAAGCACAGTACAGTACAGTACAGTATACACATATCCCCATAGGTTTTTCGAGCAGTTGAACACCAATAACTTGACTCGAGGATATTTCAAAGTTCTAAACATGAGTGTTCAAGTACCCAAGATGGTGGAAGATTCAAGTTTTTGGTTCACTGGTCCAGGATAAACAAGGCATTGGTTAAAACTAATATATCATCCTCTTTATGACAGACGTTCTGTGCCACGGGTTTCCTCCATCTTGGTAAAAAAAAAAATGCCTCATTTGTAATACATCACTTTAAGGGTCACATATTTTCTGATTCTCACCACAAAATACCCATAACCCAGGCCATGTTCTTTTCCAATAGTACACAGCTTTCAAACCTCACACATCATAACACTGGGACTTGCTCTCAACATGTTCTGGGTCATTCCTCTCATTCTATGTTTGTCACAACAAATCATCTCGGGTCATTTGGTATAAAAAAAAAATCACATCACAAAAATATAAAAACCTGTCATACATAAATAGTACATGATAATTATTATGAAGGTACTGTACTGTAATGCAAGTTCGGTGAGAAGCCAGAGGGAAAGTCGGTGTAGAAGGGCACGGCAGTACTGTACTGTATTAGAAATTCTCTGATAAAGATTCTAAATTTCAGTAAAGTTTAAAACATAACCATCAGACAACAGTAACTGTTGTTCTCATGCTGAAAAATTATATATTGTGAAAACAGTACACAAGAAACATATATAATCTAAAAAAAAAAAAGAAAAAAAAAAGGTAAATTAAGATGAGGGAAGAGAGACAATGGTAAATAATAATAAAAATAAGTTCACTAAGAAACATATAAAAGATACTTTGAAAAATTATACAACTTTACAACACAGTCATGTACACACAATGTAAAAACTGGTAACAGTCACACATATAAATCCTACTTATAGCACTGTGAATCACGCATTTGTTATATGTTATAAAAACTAAGTCAGAACACCCGGGTCTATGTCTCTTAGTTCACTCACATTAGAAGCGGTAAGCGTGCAAATGTCTATATAACTTCACATTGCTGATGCAAAAAGTGCACAAATGTTATAAAAAAAATAAAAATTCAATGATTTCCTGTTTTGTATTTCAGCAACAAGACATCGTAGTAGTGATGATAATAATAATAAGCACACTTCCTAGTAAATCGGTTATAGTTTTTTCTCACTAATATCTTTTTATAAGCACCAAACACTCCTTCACAGTCCAAACACTTACTCTGTCATCTCAAGACAGTCCGGATGAACCCAAACTCTGCCTCACTAAACAACACTTCTCTGTATTCGTCCATGACACATGCTCGGCCACATGTGTGGAACTCTTTTGTCCGCCTCACATTATATTTTCTGTTGTTCCAGGTCACGCGACCTCCACTCCTCTGAAAGTTGAAGCCGGTGTGGAACATCCTCCAGTTCCTAGCCTCCCGTTGAGGCCTACACAGTGCAGAAAATGAGAACATCCGGTCTTGTCTTCTCCACTCCATCCAATGTTTCCTTGAAGGTCCTGCTTGAAATTCTTGTCACCCAGGCCGTCTCCAGTCACGAACAAACTACTTCACCTGTGACATGACAGTGAAAAAATTAGTTTCTAACCTAACAAACAGTAAAGTACTGTAACATTATTGTAAAAGGATTTATCCTAAATTTTGTTTTTAAGGTGAAAGACTTGGTGTGGATATGTGATAAGTTTATATAGCAATAAAACTAAGGATAATATCACTGTTAATAATAGTAACTTGTTTCAGATTAGACTCATGACTGCAGTGTTTGGGAGAATGAGATGTACCTTAACTTATACGACGTCCATTCACAGTCCTCTGGTTCTCGCAAGTCAGCAATGGCGATGGAGTGTGACCTTTGGAGTGGCTTTCTCTTGATGGGTCGCTCCCCAGTGCCGCAGTAAGGAACCTCACAATACGGTATGGGGTTGTATGGCACGTGGTGGTATGCTATTTTCTTCCGAGGAATGGGACTGTACTGAACCTGCGGGATGAGAAGCTGCGGAGTAAGATATAAGTTGTGTTTACTTTTAACTTGGGTCATTAGGTCGAGCTCTGTCATCAGAGTTGTTACAAAGGTTCTAGAGACCTTTTTTTTATATATTCATTGATTTATAATGATGCATAAAGGAACTTCAACAGTCTAAATTTTACATCAGTTGCACTTTTATGAAATCACATGACTTGAGCTCAATATTTTGTTATCCCAAGGAACATTACCACTCAAAAGACTTATCTACTCACCATTTAAAATGTACTACAGTACTGTAAATAAAATTATGTTGGTGATGCATAACTTAGGTTGTTACACTTTCCTTGAGCATCAGTATACAATATATTTCATCCACATGTTAGATTAACTATATCAGTTTATAAAGGGTTTAATATATATATATATATATATATATATATATATATATAGTCTTGATAAAATCACACGGGAAAAGGGAAACAACGGAGCACCTTAGCTTTCGTCTTTATTCAGTTGCCTCTGAAGATGTCTTGAATAAAGAAGAAAGCTAAGGTGCTCCGTTGTTTCCCTTTTCCCGTGTGATTTTATCAAGATTTATCTTATCCACGTTTTCATTGTGGATCTACATGAAGTATGTATATAGTGTGTGTGTGTGTGTGCAAGTAAATCACTGTAGGTGCGCGTGATCCAGGTATATGCTGATAACCACAAGGAAAAAAGAAAACACGAAGTTCCCAAACGCTTTCGTGTAATTCACATCTTCAAGGGAGAGTACAGACTGAGAGACACATAACAAGGCATATATATACAGTGTACAGTAGAGGAGGGTGAGATCAAGTCCACAATGGTGTGTGTGTGTGTGTGTGTGTGTGTGTGTGTGTGTGTATATATATGTATATATATATATATATATATATATATATATATATATATATATATATATATATATATATATATATATATATATATATATATATATATATATATATATATATATATATATATATATATATATGCAAAGGAAATTTATTCTACAGAAACATTGATTAAATTTTAGATTGACATGAGCCAGTTTTTAGGGAGAGAAAATGATGACAGACTTTCCAAAATAAAACTGAGGTTAAATTTTCGATCTGATATATGAGTACAGTGTGACTGAATATCTAGGCAAGGAAAGTGGGATCATCAGAATCATGATCATTTTATGGAACACTATTGATGATCCCAGTCTCCTTGCCTAAATATTCAGTCACATTGTAAATAAGATTGAAAATTAACTTCAAGTTTTAATATGTAGTTTCGTTATTTTTCTAATAAAAAATCTCGTCACATTTTCTCTCAACCGAATAGGTATAGCCAACTGGGAGCCAAGTGGCAATCTCACCATCACTCTGCCCACCTTCTGGTAGGAGATGTCGAGGTACTGGATCTCCTGACAGGGGAGGACGATGTCTAGTGGCCGTTTGACAGATACAGAGGTCCTGCGGAGGACGCCCCCGGCACTGGTGGTGCTGCCACCCAGAGCACCGATGATGCCACTAACAGTGCCTCGTCTGTGTTTTGCTTTGATGTTGTTGCCACTAGTTGTGTTGTTATTCTCCTCATCTACCGTCTCTCTGTAACACAATATGAAGGTGAAGTGTTATGCAGGTGAGCGCACAGCTGTTTACAGGTTCAAATTAAAGCATAATTCATTGATAACTTTAAATAATTAATAATATTTGTTTACCTCATTGGGGAATACGTATTCGTACAAGAGCAGTGTCTCATTTTTTTTTTATTAAAAAAATAAAAAAAAACATGATAAATGGCTGCACTTCTACCCTTTGCTTTCGTAAAATGACCCATACCTTGAGATGGTTGTATGTGTGTAGATATAACACCGAGAGAAATATTAATACTATAACTAGATAATTAAGACAGGATGACACATATATATATATATATATATATATATATATATATATATATATATATATATATATATATATATATATATATATATATATATATATATATATATATGTGTGTGTGTGTGTGTATACAAAGGGTGAAAGAGAAAAGAGACAGGAAGGGAGGGAGGGAGGGCAAGTGAGAGAGAGAAAAAGACAGAACTAAGACGGGTTTCCACGTAGTACATTGAGAGATAAGCGGCCATTGTTCGTTACCTCCACTTCCGCTGCCATATTGGGTCATCTACCTTACTACCTCCTCCCCCAGACCTCACTAATTCCTCCCTCACACCTCACTACCCCTTCCCTAGAACCTCACTGTTTCTCCCACACCTCACTACTCCTCCCACACCTCACTACTCCTCCCACATCTCACCACACCTCCCTTACACCTCACTGCACCTATAGCAGATCATACATCCTTATTAATCCCCTCAAGACTACGCCCTTTCACGACTACCCTCATCATAACGCATTCCTCACGTGGGCTGTATATTGACCTGACGAATTTTGGAAAAATTAAATACAGGATATATGGAGTGGAATTCACGTAGAGTTTGTATAGGAGTCGAGGGTGGAGGGCAAGTGGGTGGATGTGCGAAGGTGGAGGGCCAGGTAAGTGGATGGCATGTGAGTGGGTGGGTGAGGGTGAAGGGCCAGTAAGTGGATGGAGGGCTAGTAGGTGGAGGAGGGATGGTGGGTGAAGGGGCAATAGGTGGATGGGCGAGGGTGGAGGACAAATAAGTGGGTGGGTGGAGGGCCAATAGGTGGATGGGAGAGGGTGAATGGGTGGGTGGAGGGCTATCAGGTGGATAAGCGATGGTGAATGGGTGGGTAGGTGGACGGGCGAGGGTGGAGGACAAATGAGTTGGTGAGTGGAGGGCTAATAGGTGAATGGGCGAGGGTGGAGTGGCAGTAGGTGGAGGGTAAGTGAGTGGGTGGGTGGAGGGACAGTAGGTGAAGGACAAGTGGGTGGAGGGTGTAGAGCCAGTGAATGGGTGGGTCGGTGAGAGTTTAAGACTAGTTGATAGGTTGGTGGGTGAGGATGGAGCCAGTGGGTGGGTGGGTGGAGGCCAGTGGGTGTGGTCGTGGGTCAACAACCGGGCCACACATTATTTATCCCTACAGACCCCACCCTCTTCCACCCACCCTCCCAGGGTACATGTGTACTCTCTCTCTCTCATATTGCATCCCTGTCACTCTTGTCTTCACTCACCCCCCCCCCCTTTCCACTTATAACCCCCATTCTCTTTCTCACATTCTCGCCCATTGCTCTTTTATCCTAAACATTTCTCTCTCACACACACACTATCACGAACATACAAACTCAGACATTTGAAAAAATATTAACAACATCGAAAATCATCAAATGATATCAACAATGGGGCCCTAATGGTCATGGGGAGCCTTGTAGTCATGGGTCCAAGTCCTTATAATGGATTCTGGTCTTAATGGTAGGTTGGGGCCCACTTGACCTGAAGGCAGTTTTGAACGTTCCAACACAAACTGTGGTGAACCAAAGTAGCCCTCCCCCAGCAGAGCGCCCACAGTACTGTACAGTATAGTATAGTATAACATGAGTGATTTTGGATCACCTAAATTTGAGACATCCCAAACTATGATTAGGCACTCCAGTATATTTCACATGAAGATTAACCACCCTAACCGAATCGAATCTAAATTGAGACCGGACAAAAATGTAAAGTTTGCTATAAAAAATTAAATAGATAGGAAATGGTCACCGTTAATTACTGGATAAAGAGAATGGCGTCAGCACAAATCAGTATTTTTTTCGGTGCTCGAATTGGTATTGACAAACATGACACTACATTAAGGGGTCATGTCGGGGGTTGAAAGTTGACATGACTGTGTGTGACTGTCTGTAAGACGCGTATGTTAACTCAATCATGCGTAAATATTCAGGTGTGTTGACCAGATAAATATAACCCCCAAACACACCTGAATATTTTGCACACGTTTATGCTCAGGTGTTCAAAATTAGCTTGAAACAGAAATTGACACTGGGGACCCCCCTCCCCACACACACACCATACATACATCATAAGCCCCTTTTTACATACACACACACACACTTGGGCTGTGATGTTTCTGTCTACTTGTATTTCAGTCATGTCAATATTGTTATTATTGTCCACTCTGTACCTGTATTTTTCTGATTAGATAAACTGTTTAAATACCAATATATATTTGTACAATACCTATGATAAAAAAAAATATATATATATATATATATATATATATATATATATATATATATATATATATATATATATATATATATATATATATATATATATATATATATATATATATATATATATATATATATATATATATATTTTTTTTTTTTTTTTTACAGAATATCCAGGCACGTGGTAGACGTTACGAAAACAATAATACTGGTAATTATATCAGGAAGAATGAATAAGATGAATTTTTACATAATAAATATTTTAGCTACTTCCTTGTGATGGTATAATAGCCTTATTTTATTTATTATTATTTGAGGAGAAACAGCAAAGACACACACGCTGGGAGTTCAAGATGCCCTGGCCTAAGGGGTGGTGATGAGGGCTAGGAGGGAGAGGAGAGAGGGAGAGCTTGCCATACAATCATGACAAACTCTCGTCGACAAATTTCTATTTAACAAGTGCATCAACTCGACCTGATATTTTTTTGGCGTATGATAGACAAATTACTTAGTATTGGTAGTTTAGTTCATGGGGTTGTATACCAGGGGGTACCAGTATACTATTATGGGAGGGAAAAAGTGGTTGTCCGCTGACCAGACTCTGTGGGGGAGGGAGGGAGGGAACACAGTCGCCCTTGCCCCCGGCTAGAAGTGTTGCCCTCTGACGTATCTAAATAATAATCTCTCATGCAGGTACTATCGACTGTATGATTAAACTCAGGTGTTGAACCACGTGTACACAACTGTCTGCCAGGGGTGTATATCTGCCTCTTCACACACACACACACACACACACATACATACACCAGAATCCCTGTCAAAAGCGACCTGGTGTATACAGCTCCGACACGCACATAACCTCACCAATTTTCGGGTAGGACCGCTCGACCATACAATCCACTCCTGTTGCCTTCACACCCCTTACCAAACTATTTTTACATTTTCCTTGTTTCTATCTACGTTTATTCATTGTATTGTTACTTAACTTAATGTTCATTACATAGGAAAGATAAGAGAGGATAATAAGGTACGTTAGTGTTGAGGTAAGAGAGAGATACTGAGGTAAATACATACGATTGGAGTCAGCCGTGGGTGGTGATTCGTCCGCCACGTAGGCTGAGACCAGCACCGTGGGGTCTACCCTACACCCACACCGTGTACCCTACAGGCCTACACCCTCCCTAGTGTAGCTACACTCACACCCTGTACTCTACACCCTCCCTAATGAAACTCCACCCACACCCTGTACCCTACACCCTCCCAAGTGTAGCTAGACCCACACCCTGTACTCTTCACCCATACCGGCCTGTACCTCATGAGTCAACGTGAGCGCGTGCGTGCGTTTTGTTTGAGTGCCTTGCGTGTGTTTGCGTATGCTTTGTTTGAGTGCCACGTGTATGTGTGCTTTGTTTGTTTGTGTGTGTGTGTGCTTTGTTTGAATGCCTTGTGTATGTATATATTTTGTTTGGGTGTCTCGTGTGTGCGTGTAATAATAATAATTGACAGTCTATTAACAAACACAGCAGGCACAAGCTGAAATATACAAATGACAAGTGGCACATATATAATATGCATTGATAATGGGGAGAGGGTTATTTAACAAGGGTTACAGTACAAAAGTGAGAATGGCAGAGTGAACACAAAAGTTAACTACGAGTTGTTGATAATTTTTACAATGGTTAGGACTGGGCTGTTCTTACAGCAATCAGTACGTGTTGTATGGGCTGGATGCGGTTGTAGTGTCGAACAGTAATTTCCGGACGTGGGATATCCAGTGGGAGCAGGGGACGGTAACAAGGATAGTGCAGTAACTTCTTCCTAAGCATAGTTAACACGCCCTCTCCTGCACTCCTGTAAGTCCTCGTTATGTAGCTTTTAAGGAAGACCAGCCAGGGGAACTTTATGTGAGCTTGGGAACTGTGAATGTTGTTTAAACACCCAAGGGCGCCGGAACTCCGAGGAACGTTAGACGACGGAGGATGTGGCGGCGAAAGCAGGGAGATCTGACGATTGTATTGACGTGTGCTTTCCAATTCAGTTTGTTATCTGTAGTGACGCCGAGGAGCCTGATGGAGAACACTACGTGGAGGGAGGTGGGACATGGTCGGAGTAGAGGTTGATGCGCATAACCATGGTCTTGGTGTGTGTGTGATGTTTCAGTGCCTTGCGGGAGTGTATGTGAGTGTCATGCGTGTTTGAGTGTGTTGTATGTTTCAGTGTTGCGTGAGTGTATGAGTACGTTGCGTGTGCAAATGTAACAAAGCGGGAGGGTAACGAACTCTTATACTTAAGGAAGTGAGTCAGGCGTCGAGCACAACTCTCCAACTAAACTAGAATTACGTTAGTGAAAGTGTTCCCTCACGAGACACAGCATGGACGTGTACTAGCATGGGCGTTCAGCGGCGTGAGCATACAGCAGTGTGAGCGTGTAGAGAAGTGGGTATGTACTAGAGTCGGCGTACTGTACAGCGGTGTGGTGTGTACTAACCTAAACCAGTGGCGTGGATATATACTGTACAGCGGCTGTGACATACAAAGCAGCATGTATACTAACGTCATACTCATTTAATTTAAGTGTGAACCGCTGAGGGTCAAAGTTCACGTCAACTTAATCCATGATTCATACACCCACTGCTACCACGACACGACATACATAAAAACATACATGATTTATACAGCGACAGAACACAATACAACTTAGGTACATGAAGACATACGATTTATACACCGACATGGAGTGGAATATTACATACATACACACATACATACATTCTAGAACCCAGGATGAAATTACGAAAGAATAAGTCATACATACATAAATACTACGCATACACGAAAATATACTAAACGCAACACCCATTGGGAATCGAATCACATTTCTACTACCGCTGCTACGACTACGGCTACTAAGACTACTACTTCTCTTACTGTCACGACTAATACTACTACTGCTGCTACGATTACTGCTGATGTTAACAGCTGGACATGGCGCTGTTATTTTGCAGTGGTGTTTCATTTGGCAGGAGTCGGGAGCATATAGTCTGTCACGCGATGGTCAGGTGACATCTACAGTACTGTACCTCCACCTGCTACTACTGCTGAAGCCACCACCACTGTTACTACTACTGCAAGCTACTACTACTTTCCACGATTAACGAACATATCTGCTACAATTAACGAACATATCTGCCACGATTGAGGAACATAACTGCAACGATTAACGAACATATCTGCCACGATGAACGAACATATCTGCCACGATTGACGAACATAACTGCAACGATTAACGAACATATCTGCCACGATTAACGAACATATCTGCCAAGGTTAAAGAACTTATCTCCGACGGTCAAACGAAACTTATCCCACGGTTGACGTATACTAGATTCAGCCGGGGTTAACGGAGTAGCGTGAAGCAAGAGGCATAATCACAGCTGCGCATGCGTGGATGTCCATTAGCGAGAGGGAATTGGTGGACTCAAGGGAGAGAAGGATGAGGAGGAACTCGACAGGAAGAGGAGAAAGAAAGGAAGATGTGGATAAGGAATGAGGGAGAAAGGGGGAGATGAGAAAGTAGAGGAAAATAAATATGAGAAGGATTGGAAAGAGGATGAAGTAAGAAAGGAAGGCGTAGATGAAGGAGAGAAAGGGGAGAAGAGGAGGAGGAAGCAAAATAGCAAGAGAAAACGACCAGCTTGTCGTCCGGAGAGGAGTTCCCACGAACCCGTCACGACCATTCCTATTTTGGCTCAGCGTTCCTCAAGGCGTTCCCTTGGTACCTCTGCTGTTTCTCCTGATCCGTTAGATACATCCGTTTACCATCCGTCAAAACAGAAAATATAAGAAATGTTAAAGGATGAAACTGGTTAAATCTAGCAAGGAAGAGGCGATAAAAGAGAAAGGAACGAACGGTTGGAAGAATGCAAAGAAAAAAAATTGCTTCATGATTTCAGGTCATCTTGATGCGGAAAGTTGAACACCATTTTCTGTGTGGTATGTGGGTGTGGGTGGAAGGGGGTACTTAAGTTAGTCAAGTCAGTCAGTCAGTCGCTCAAGATACCAACCCACTGATGATGGTCTACCCACCCTCTGTTACCTCCACCCAATGCTAGCTTCACCCAGCACAGCCGCCCACTCCACTGCCAACTACAACCTCACTTCAGCTAGCTAATAAGTCCACCCACTGACAATGACTCAACCATCACCACTACTGCTACCACCATCACTACTACCAGTCAGTTCATCACACTCTCTACTGACCACTCCACTGACATTCCCTCCGCCCACTGTCACACCCGTGTAAGTATACCGCCCATAGCGAACCCCTCCCCACCCAGCCGTCCACCATTCCCCCCACCGAACCTTCCTACACCCGTTTCACATTCCACCTATCCGCCCGCCCGCCTACAACTCACGCATATTCCTACACCCTCTCTCGTATATCTAGCCCGCCCAGTCAAATAACTTACCCACCCACCCACAATCCCCCGCCCGTCCTCACATTCCTCTCACGCTCGTATCACTTTCCCTAGACATCCTCTCCGCCCACACTTACCAGTAGGCCACCCTCCCTTCCCTCCCTTACCACCCATCGCCCTACTTTCCCGCCCTCACTTACCAAGTACTCAGGAAGTCCCCCTACTCACCCTTCCTCCCTGGCGGCCAAAAATTTATCATTCTTCCTCACCTGGTGAATTAAGACTCATCACTCACTAAGAACTCATTTTGTACTCATAAGGCCCTAGTACTCATCAGAGGATCTAACCATGTATCCAGAAGTGCCAGGAACTCACTCATGGCAATCAGTTACTCACCCCTTCTTCTTGGTGGCCTCAGTATCAGAGTCTGAGGGCTGGTAAAGGCCGTCATCATCGTCCTTGTCCGTGAAGTCCAAACAGCGGGCAGCTCTCAGGTTCCTGCCCATGGACATATCCCCCGTACGTGCTGTGAAGAGAAGCTGTGGTTAGTGACTGTCTGTCTGTCTGTCTATCTATCTATCTATCTATCTATACAGTATACTTGTCTATCTATCTATCTATATGTCCGTCTGTATCTATCTATCTATCTATGAGGACCAAAGGCTGTGACCTCTAAGTGGGTCTCTCTCCATATTATGTACAATGAGAGAGAGAGAGAGAGAGAGAGAGGCTCACCATCGTAAAAGCCAACGTTTGTCATTTTTAGCTTAAACAGGATTAATCTAATTTAAGCCGCGCCAAGTTAAAGCCGACAAATTTTAACAAGTCCATTGAAATCTTCCTTCTATCCCCTGTCTACCGTCTATTCATCCACTGTCGAATTATCATATTTTATCCCTATTCCTTCTACGTTAAAAATACCTTTCCTTTGATTCTAATCCGATTTTCTTTTGTGTGTGTGTCGGGTCTTTTACTGTCTCTCTTTTATCATGTATTTTTCTTCATCATTCTCTCTTTGTTCCTTTCTTTCTCTGTTTCTTTTATCTCCCCGTCTTTATTTTTATCTCCCTTTCTGTCTCTTTCCCTTTCTCTCTGCTGTTCCCCCCTTCCTCTCAACCTCTCCTTCTTTTCTTCCATCTCCCCCTTTCTTTTTCTCCTCCGTTCTCTTTTTTCCCTCATCTCATTTCCTCTCTCTGTTTTCCCCCTTCCCACGCTCTTTATTCATCTCCCCCCTTTTCATTTTCTTCATTCTTCCTCTGTTCCTTCCCTCGTTTCTTCCTTTTCTTGCTTCCTTTCTATCTTCCCCCTTCGCTCTTTATCCGTCTCTTTCTTCACCTCTCTCTCATCCCGCAATTACTTTCTTTCACCCCCCTCTCTCTCCCTTCCACCCCTCTCCTGTCTCCCCACTCCACCCTTCCCTCTCACCAGTCTCCGCCTTGAGAGACCTTATTCTAACTTGGTAAAATGTCACTTAGATGTAAACAAACTGCAGGAAGGATTAATACTGAGCTGAGTCACCAGGAGGAGGCGGGGAGGAGGGGTGGAAGGGCATGACTCGAGCAAGAATATTTAAAGCACTTAAACTGTGATGATGTGTATGTGCGTATATATACTGTATGTATGTATGATGTATGTATGTATGTGGTTATGCCTTAAGTAAGCATGCATTTACATCCGGCCAGTATATGAGTTCCTGGCCGGATCTGATCTAACATACATTCATCCGGCTGCCCGCTTCTTCATGCAGATTAAGTGTATATTATTTACTTATTTTCACACTTTCTCTCCGTATTTTTCACACAGTCTTTCAGTATTTTGACTCAGTTTTACTAACCAATCAACGTACACCCTGCTGTAGGAGAACCAATCAGCGCTCACCAGGATGGAGGACAACCATTCAGCGTACACCATGATGGAGGAGAGCCAATCAGCACACACCAATATGGAGAACCAACCAGGGGACACCATGTTGGATAATAACTCAAATACACCTCACATATGCTCCAAAATACACCCTCAAAGTGCTCCAAATACACAGGCAGTAGGATGGGTGTACGCCTGACAGCTGTTCGCCCCCCCCCCCTTATCTTACCTACCTGAGGGCTGCCACACCTGTTGGGCCTCACAACCACGCCACTAATTTAATGTATCTGGCCCCAGGTGAGACGAATAGTGCCCGGATGCTGAGAGACTTAGGGGAGGTAGGTAGGTAGGTACATAGGCAGGTAAACTGATAGATAAAGATATAAGATTCATAGATAGATAGGTAGGTGGATGGATAGATAGATAGATAGATAGATAGATAGGTAGGTGGATAGATAGATAGATAAAGTAGCCTATAGCCTATTAAATCTCTCAGTCCCCGGTCACACACACACAGTAACCAGCAGTTGGCCGACCCGTACCCGGCTCTTACTTCCGGGTGCTATCAGGGGGGTGAGAAGTGCCCGCTACCACTACAAGAGACAGACCAAGACAGACAGACGCACAGACCAAGACAGACACACACACAGACCAAGACACACACAAAGACAGACAGCTACACATGCACACAAAGGCACACAGAGGACGGACATACCAGACTAGGGTCATCATCAAGATACGGCTCACGACACAGGATGGTGTATAAAAAATGACATCCTGTGGTACCCTAGAGAGCCGTGTCACCTGTTACTGGCACCCGGCTGTGTGTGTGTGTGTGTTCTCTTGATGTGTGTAAGTGTGTGTGTGTGTGTGTGTGTGTTTATAATGGTGTGATGTGTTTGTATGTGTGTGTGTTTATGTTTCATAGTGCTCTGTGATGCGTGTGTGTGTATGTGTATGTGTTTGTCGTGGGATAAATGTGTGTGTGTTTGTTTTTATAGTTTTTATGTAAATATGTATGTTTATATATATTTGTGTGTGTCATGAGGATTATCTTACGAGCGGTAGTGACTCACACGACACAGTAATGTTTGTAAACACTGATGACGTCACGAACCCTCACTCCCTCCCATATCATATTAAGGAATTTTCAGAAGTGACCTTTTCTTTGTTCACTAAACGTAACTTAAGTCGGTGTTGGGAAATGGTAACGTGATAAAGTACTGAGAAATAAGCAATTAGTGATAAAGAGTACTGAGAAATATGCAATTAGTGATAAAGAGTACTGAGAAATAATTAATTAAAGTATATTATAATTATTCTTTTGATGTCGACAATAAAATATTTTAAGGATTTTAAATTTGGCCGCGATGTTTAATAATAATAATATAAACAATACTTAAACACCTTAGAGACTAACACACACATACACAATTAACTTAACACACCTGGCAACGAAGGTCATAAATCTCCAGGTGTACTGAACCAAGTGTGTCTGGTCACAGGTACTTAAGGTGCGTTACACGTTGATGGCCAGTGTGTGTGTGATCCACCAACAGGCACTGCACTCGACTAGTCACTCTTGTACTCATTAACAGGTAAGTTTGCCCGGGGATCGAACCAGCCTTAAGACAGGAGTTGAGTGGTCTCCACTTAACCACCGCACCCTCACGTATTAATGAACACGGAACACAATTATATAACATTGACACTACACTCAGGAGGTTATGTACACAGACCAACACCATTTAACACCTTCTACACCTCTGTCAACACGCTACACTCATACAGACACCTCTACGGGGCCACCACAGCTGTTGTATGTCTGTACACTTACACTCTGAGATACTAACTACACCCACCTGCACCTCTGTCTACACTCCACCTTCAGGTTATGTGACGTTTTGTACAGGTGTAGCTGACACACACACACATACACGTCATCGCCCAGCTGTTAGGAGACAAGTGTACGAAAACGTTTTTTTGGGAGGGCCTCACTAACTCCGACAAGTGTTTCCCCACACTACCCAACACCTGTGGTCTATTCAGGTAAACACGTATTAACCCTTAAATTAAATATCCTTTTATAGACTAAATACTTAAAGTCAAAACACATTTTTTAATCAACTGCATTAAAAGAGAATAATTAATATCCCACAATTACGAAAGTTTTTAAATTTGACTCAAAGATCCGGACAAAATATGCTCATTTGACGACTAAGGTGACGTCACCATATCACGACTATAAGTGACGTCACGATACCCCGACTCTCTTAAGTGAAGTCACGATGCACAATTTTGCAGATACAGGGAGGTCGCTTGTGTTGCAGACGCTGAGTGCTCGTGTTGCTCAACTTAGACGTTTATTTAGACAAGTGGGAGAGAAACCGAGTGTTATGGCGAAAGATAATTAACACAAATGAATAATAACAGAGAGTAATATGGCCTCGTCTGCTTCACGGAGGGCGGCGGCGGCCATTTTGGTACACCACAACACAACAAAACAATGAAGGAAACTGCTGTAGGCCTATAGTGACTTGTAGGAGAGAGAGAGAGAGAGCGATCAACCACACACAGTTGTTGATGTTGAAACTCTTACTTGCACCTGTGTGTGTGATCAATATACACATCTAAATCCATTTCAAATATCCTTCAAAATCTGGTATATTATCTAATTCTCGTGAAGACCAATCAGGAAGCGACATGCCCTCAAACAAGTGTATTCTGCCAGATTGGTCGATGCAAACCAATCCCCAAGCGGTGGGTGCCTCAACTACACGCTGACCACCACGCCACGATCGGAAACACACGCCTCTTGTTACACGCCCTTATACCATATCTACACGCCTAAACCTCTGCTTTATCACACCCATTCTTCCCTCATCCGCCTTCTGTTCTTTCCTACCTTCCACCTCTCCTCCTCTTTCTCTTCCCCCTCCTCTTCCTCATTTTTCCATCCCTTCTATTCTCCTCTCTTCCCCCTCCTCTTTCTCTAGTCTTCTCCTATCTCCCCCACTCCTCCTCATCTCCCCCGCCTCTTCTTCAACCCCCCCTCCCCCCACATCCTGGCTAACACTTCACACACAGACGTCAACCAAAGGCTTAATTAACATACATTTTCTCTCCTAATCTGAAATACTCTATTGTCCTGCCATCCTGTACTACGTCCTGCCATCCTACACTACAGCCTGTCATCATGTAAGTCCTCTCATCCCCCACTACAGCCTACCATCCTGCCTAATTGAAGGGTTCCATCATCCAAGCTGCAGGTTAAACGGGTCCCAATCCTGACAAGTCCCAACATAAACGCTAGGATTGGGGTCTATTAGAAGTGGGGCCCATTAAGATTGAGACCTATGAGGGTTAGGGTCTATTACAATGGGTTTATTAGAACTGGGCCTATTAGAACTGGGGCCCATTAAGACTGGGGCCTGTTAGCATTGGGGTCTATTAGAACTGGGAGGACAAAGTAACCAAACTCCTCCTCCATCCTGATACTATTAAAGGGCAGATGAGAACAGTTAACTGGATCAATAATACTTGATTTACGGGCCGATGAATTAACTATGTCACCCATTAAGTCACCCTTACACCCAGTCTATCCACCCACACAGTCATCACTACACCCAGTCTATCCACCCACCCTTACACCCACACAGTCAT